TAATCCGACGTGAATTTTGAACTGGCAACTTCAGTTTCTCCGTAATATTGGACAGGATATATTTGAAGCACAATTTTATTATTATCTTTTTCAATTGTCAATGTACCATGGCCCCAATCATTTTGAGCTTTAGCTTGATACAACCAAGATCGCCCTAATAAAATTGGGTATGAAAATATAGAGCATTGCAATTGAAAAATAATATAATCAATTTTGTAGGTAATCTCCAAAATTACTATATCAATACTTCATAAAATATCCATAGGTTTAACTCGACTGGAGTCAGCCATTCTGAAAACTACTGTAGTAGACAATAAGTGATCTAAACCTAGTTCCTCTATTGTAGCAATATTTATAAGATTTACATTAGATCCTCCGTCTTCTTACACTCTCGATAATAACACTCCATCAATTGAGACATCAATCGTAGGTGCACCTTGATCGGGATTCAAACTTACTTCTCAGATTTCTTTATTTCAAGATCTACGACAAATTAATGAAGAATTCAAGATAGTTTGGCACTCAGGTGCTATCGCCAATAGTTGCTTCATAGAGATCGTGGACTGTATGGTATGCAAATCTTTTAGAATATCATAAGGTTCTATATTAGTGATAATTTTCAATGTCTGTTTCTTCTTTCTAGTCCTTGGCACCGATGCAAGTAAATTAGATTTCTCTATATTAGAAATTGATAAAGCTATTGGAACTGAGTTTGACAGAGCCTGTAAAATTGGTTCTTTTAATAGGTAAGATTGTTCTCTCAATTAGACTGATATTGGTTCCTTGAAATTCATGCCTCTTAGAGGATCTTTCAATAGAAAAGATGTTTCCCAAACTATGTAGAGAACGGAACAGCTTGACACAGAATCAAAGCCTCTGTAATTGGTACCTCATTAGGATGCACAACCGATTTTGGTCTTATACTGAGTAAAAGGCCCATGTTAGGACCTGGATTTGATGTCCTCGTAATTGAGTTCAATTGATCCTTCGCTTCAGGATCATCCAAATGTTGAATTGGTCCTTTCTTCTTTTGCTGACTTTTTGTAAGGACAGCTTGGACTACTTCTATTCGATGAATTGATAATCTTGAGGACCTTGATTTATCTCTTTTATTTTTCCTTGGCTTTGGATCTATAGATCTTGATTATTGAAATTGAATGGAGCATTATATTGTTGATAAGTATGTCCCAATTGCTTGCAATTCGTACATACTAGTACATAATCGTCACTGGCTCTGGAATTAGGACATTCACTAGCATAATGACCAATTTGACTGCAACGGAAACAATGAAGTGGTCTTTTTGTACCTCCATTTGGCATATTGGGTGTCTCCACCAGTATATACCTACTAGGCTTATTCCATATAGGGTTAGAAAATGATCCTAATTGTCTCGTTTGTACGGAGGGTACTTGGTTCAATGACACTGATGGAGCATATTGTTGATACCTCTACTGCTCTTTCTCATATTTCTAAGGGTTTGATGCAGACCTCTAATTAAAATTGGAACTTTGAAAATTATTGAATGTTCAATTTTGTCGATTAGATTGATTTCCATTCCATCCATATGTATTTTTCATTTGAACTTGATTGACTTTCCATTGAGTCAGTAGGATCATGGTCTGATTACTAAATTATTGTTGCCTTTGTAAATGCCAATAGTTTTAGGTAGGGTGCTTTCTTCTATAAAATATATACTGAACACCTATTTGTCTGGGTGTTTGACATTCCGTATCAAAATGACCTTGTCCCTTACAATTATTACACCATACATTAGGTCTCATATTAGAAGGCTTATGTCGTTTCTCCTTGTCTTTAGCCAAATTCATGGCCAATTCTTCCATTTTCTTTGTTGGATTTAATAACAAGGCTTCATTTGGATCTTTAACAGTCGCATTTGTGAACAACTTTGATTGTTGATAGGTTGGTGATGTAAAATAAGGTGTCATCATTATTGGCGCTATTGCTTGGAGTGGTGTAGCATTGATTGGTTGTTGCAACATAACATTCTTCACATTGGAGGTAGCCATTTGTAGATAATTATCCATCGATACATTTCTCAGTTGTATTTGTTGGCTTCCTGAACTTGGAATCATCGCAGCCCCTACTGTTAACAATTGATCATAATGACATTCTTTCTACACCTTTGCTCGTGCTAACGATGCCTCTACTATAGCTGGTCGAGCCTCTTTTACAAATATTTTTAATTCTGGTGGATGCAAATCGTTAATTAATATCGACAATATAAATGCATCTGGCATTTGATTATTTGATCATTTACGAAATATATCCGCAATCCGTTCATAATGGGACTCTATGGATTGCTTGTTGATTATATCTTTGATAATCGTCTTCCCCATGATTATCACTCATAATCTTTCTCTCTTCTTTACAAAATCAATACTGCCTTGAATTATAACTCACATATATGTAATCCTAAAACTGGTTCTTCTCACATTCTCATTCAACATATAATTCCATCTTCCATATAATCAATTTCTAACATTTCATATTTTTATCATTTCCCCGACAGCGGTGCCAAAATGTTGTTCTCGTTGTGTTCCAACTTCAGTAGACCAAAGCAATTGAATTAATAGAGGTGGATTCGAACATGGGAAAAGATTGGTTATATGAATTGGGTCTATTAGTGTCATAATTGACTGTATTCTGGCTATCTGAAATCAAATATCAAACTACAAAACACTGAGGCTTACTACTTCCATCTTAATTCAACCCATCATCCATTCTACGAATATCAATTCAACAATATTTCTCTCAATGACCATTCTTCATAAGCAAATAATAAAGAAAACAAAGAGGTAGTACCAAGCTTATATCGACTTACAACTCTCATAATCTGGCCCTCGGCTTATGACTCTCAATCTGGCTCTTAGCTTACGACTCTTAGTTTGGCTCTCGGCTTACAACTCTCAATCTGGCTCTCATCGCTCTTTCCTCAACCTATTTATCCTACCAAAAAGATGATCCGTCGACCAACGGATTCCAAAGGTTATAACCCTTTGAATTCTTAACCATTTGTTCCACTAACAACCTACTGTTACCAACTAAACTGCCTAACCATCAGTCTAATTCTGAAGGTTGTCAATAACCAACGAGTAACTTACCACAAAGTTTATTTACCTATTCTACAATAATTGAGAATAATAAATATGTCTTCAAAATTATTGCACAAAATATTCTCTTTCACTTGATGTATTTTTATTTTTTATTCTTCTATTTGATACTTGAAATGATAGTATCTTGGATTTTTAGCTTAGCTAAGACTTTAAAAAAATTAATCTTATGCTTATTACTTGTTCAAAACTCATACCTAATAGAAAAAAAATTATAATTAATAAATATAGATTTATTTATTCATTATTTATGGATCAATCACTTATAAAGATAGCTTTTGTCTCCTCCTAAGATTGATAGCAATGCAAAGATAAGATATACATTCATTACATTGCTTTCAACTTTTCTTAATAATACTCTTAATTGTTTAGGTACTATGCTCTTCATTTTTGTTTTATATTTGGCATGGTTCAGAAGCTAATTCAAGTAGGAATTCTAACTGGTGTTTAAGAGGATGTAAGAATGAAAAAATCAAAATTAAAAATCTATCTTGAATAGTACAAATCCTAGTAGTTATTTTTTTGCAATTAAGAAGAATTTTTTTAAGTGGATTTGGTAATGTAAACTTGATCAAGACTACAAAAAAAATGGTTTAAATAATTAAATATCCATTAGAATTTATTTTGAATTTTTTTTTAATTAAATTTTAAAACATAATAATACATGTTTGCTCAAACAATTTGAAATCAATTCTTTTTGTTTGAAATAAAATAACCCCATAACATTAAATAAACAAACAAACAAGCTTTACATATATGTATTTATACAATTTTTTTAAGAATAGAGATAAAGTTTGTATCTGGAATCTTAAAATTACAATGCAATACAAATACATAAGATTACATTTGAAGCAACATCCTTAATGTTATTATGAGAATGAAAAACACGTTATCAAATTCATATCTTACAGTAATTAAGGCCAAGATTAGCCAATCCTGATTTTTATTTTTTCAATAAAGATACATATGTTTGTTCATAATCTAATAATATTATTGTCTGCAAATCAAATGTTTTACACAATACCTATCAGCATTTCAATCTCATTTATGAATATAAAATTTTGAAGAAACAAAATTCAGGATCGTAGATGATTTCAAGATATTGAACATGATTTTTCTCAAGGTGACTTTTTATATGTGTTGTGGTTGCTTTAATCCTCAAATCAGTTTTTTATAAAATAGTTCTTAAATCAAAATTTTCAATTTTAATACAATATTTGTATTTTTTATAAGTTGTTCAACAGATCTTAAAACAAAATGCAACATTTACATCTGTTGAGGCAAAATGGCGGTAAAATCTTTCAATAAACGAAATTGTATGTTACTAGGTTTTAAAAATTAGTAATGATTTCAAAAATCATCACAATGCTGCAATACAAGCTAATTCGGTATCACAATATAATTTACCTGCAGTATCTATTTTATGTATAATTGTTAGATTTCATTGAATCAGATTCATCCACTGTAGGATACGGCAATATTTCATCAATCATATCATTGGAAATTTATAACCTAAAAAATACCTTAATGTAAGCAATACATATCAAAAATATTCCGAGTTCTTGCATTTATAGACTGAAAACCATGTAAACTGAAAGAGTATTTTACTTATTAAATATGTTTTGAGCATCATATAGATATATGAATATGTATATATACATACATACATACATACACTAATAAAAGTTGATGTGCCAATTGTGAACGAACACCATCTAAAAGGCAAAGAATAATCGTCAGCAGCCACTCCCGAGCTAGCAATGCTTAAAGGAAGACTTATAGCTCTCGTTCAAGAGCCTGATGAAGGTGACAAGCTCAACCTTGGTGTTATGAAAGAGCTTACAGGCAATGACCAACATAGCATCACGAGGACAAAAAGGGAGCAATCCGTGTATTCCGAAAAGAAGGTCTCCATCGCAAGTCCTTGTTAGATTCACTATCAGAAAATTCTCAAATCTCACGGACGCAAATTCGATACAAGAAAATTCATTATTTAAACCAACTCAAGACTAAAAGATATGGCATTAACTTGCAATAGCAGTAGCTGCTTCTGCTGGTACTGTACTACCCTGTGTCGCCAACACATTCATGTTCGCAGTATTGGCCTCCTCAATGAGTGCGTATAAAGTCCTCAACGCATCCTTCCTGTTCTCCTCTCTCAAATCAAACCTACACAAACAAAGAAAAAAAAAAAACAAAAACAAAAACAAAAACAAAAAAAAAACAAATTAACCCCAAGTAGCTAAAATCTTTTCTTTTTTAAAAACTAACGTGTTCAAAAATGAATCTATGCGTCTGCGAATATCAAATCCAACTGCATCATTTCAAGCCGTCTTTTAATTCAATAGGGCTAATTATACGCCAAGAGTGCAAAAGCGTCCATTTTAGAAAAAGGATGTGCTCGGGAAGTAATTACCTTTCACAAGTGATGGTCAACTCGTCGTTATTAGGGTTGTATCGCTTGCCGACAATTAGTAGCATCCTTTCCTTTGCTTTTGGGGTAAGCTGCAACTCTTTCAAATAGACAGCTAGCTTCACTTTCCGGTTAGCAGGGTGCCATGCATCACCGCCAGGTCCCAATACTACTCGAGTTGTCCACCGCAAAATAGGACCTTCACCTGGTGGATCTATGTTTGGAGACTCCCCTTTGGCATACAGGTCCTTATCTGAATCCAGAAGCAAACATTTTAACACCTTTCTAAGTTACACAGATGCAGCAAACGTAAGGAACATTCTGTACTAATGAGAACCACAAGCTTGTCAATATTCGATGTAAATGATAGAAGAAATCTTTTAGCATCAGGAACTTTATACATGCTCTCTCGCAGTCTTCTAAAATAATGTTGGAAACAATTCTGACTATTTATGAAAAGATATTTAAGTCCATAAACGTTGCTTGAAGAGTAGCATCCTAAGCATAAGCTTGGTTGTCAATGCTTTAAGTATCTTGATGCACAAAGATACCACACACCAAGCACTATTCTAACGTACTGTGAGAAAATTTATGATCAACAGATAGTCAAGAGATACTCGATCTAACTTGTTATCATCTTCGGGCTTGTTCCGCATGAACTTGGTAAGAGGCAAACAACCCGAGAAAGAGAGGAACAAGAACCAAACCTGGAAAAATGGAGTCAAGGGTTGGCTGACCCAGCCATTTGTCGACGATACCACGAGTGTTGTATAAATGGGTGATACCTTCCTCCAGAGGCACCATGTCTAATTCATCTTCAAAGGTTTTATCATATGTTCCAAAACGTTCTTTCCTGCTCATTTTCTTTCGCCTTGGTGGCTTCTCGCCATCTTTGCGTGGTTCCCCTGAATAGAATTCCGCACAAAAACTTAAGAATATGAATCATCGCTTCTACAACGTGACCCGCTAAGGACTACAAGTAGCAACATTCGATATGGTAACATCGATAGGAACGCATTTAGTCATGTACTTACATCACAGCGCAAAGGCGATTGTCAGCAAAAATTCCAAGTATACATCGCTCAATTAGAAGGGAACCTACAATAAAGTACTGTTTCGCTAACTCCCAGCCGTGCAATACCAACACAGATTTAACAAGGGTGTAAAAAGATGAACCCTGATACTTCTGCAGTTCTACAGCGTCAAAATTGAAGGAATATGTCGCCTGCTTGCGGCTACTAGAACGAAAGAGGGAGTAAACCAACGACATTCCAGCCTGAAAACTTCTGCGCGTGAATGCCACTTCGTACCAGGGAGTCCGAAACATTAAAAACTAATATCAAAATTGCAGGAAATGACCAGAAGTTGAGAGACATTTGGGGTAGCATAGTCTGGGAAATACCGTCAGAGGAGGTACTGAATGGGCTGAGAGAAAGATCGCTGCGATTCCACAACGGCAATGAACACGAGTATGACGGTGATGACCTGGTGCTCCCACGAGATAAACCTAAAACTTGTTCTACCTGCTTCCAGGGAACCCATCGAGCTCTTTGCATTTTTTCCGCTTCTACTTAAAACCTCACCTCTTAAGCCTACAAAAAACGCTCCCCACTTGCGCCCTTCCCAGTAGCGAAAACTCCAAGTGCAATTCCTCCCCCCTTTTTATTCACAGCCCCATTCCTGCTGCAATCAATCGAAAACCAATAGATATTACTGGCGATCCCTCTACCTCCAGGCCCTTAAACCCTACCTTGGAAGCGAACCCTCACGGCCAATTACATCGTAACATGCAAACAAACAATTCTAGACTCGATGGCGCTTGTAAATCCCAAACCCTAGAGAACAAAGACAATTAAAAGACTATTTTTAGATGGCGAGATGGTGTTCCTATAGAAGGCCTCCCATGGGGAACTTTATTGGAACGGGTCTGAAAGGTGCAGGGTTGGTTTTTGCAAACCCTATATGGCTCTGTAACAAACACTACGGGTGCCGAGTGTCGACTTCGAGACTGGAGTAAGACGTTCAATTATCCCTGCCCATCTCGAAAAGGTTTCTGGAAGGACACGTTGGCAAGATGGATGTTGGGACCCACCTTCAGGTTTGTAACCCTCTGAACTTCTATGCTGAATTGTTTGGTCACGACGAGTTACAGTTTAGGTCTGTGCTGTCAATTATATGAGTGTGCTGGCTGTTTGTTGCATCTTTTAATCACAGATTGAGGATTGAGCTCAGCAAAGTATTCGATCCTAGGTCTTTTTCTGATTGCGTACATGTTACATTCTCTCGTGTCTTCGGTGTTGAAGGTGACGATGGAATTCTGAATTTCATTTGCATTGGTTTTAAAGATATCACTTGGTTTGTCTTTACAGCTCTGCAGCAGATTGTCGTAGATTTCAACAATGGTTTGCATGCAGTTTAATCTCGTAATCGGGCAAAATTGTCTACTAGGTTATGCAGTAACTCTTTTTCGGAACGAGACGATAATTTTAGTTCTAGCTTCGTGTTCATTATTTTTAAAACAATGTCAGGTGTGAAAGCTGTCGCTGCATTTGAAAATTGATAAACAGTACAGATCACAATCATCGAGTACGCAAATAGCATCTAACAATCGATTTTCCACCATTCTGTAGACGATAATATCAGTGTCAGAAATCTTCAACTGAAGCTCTTATGAACGAATTGGCATGCTTTTGCGACGCATTGCTCCCTCCGGTTGACAGTCAAGTTCATTACCACAGATGGACGACGGCTTAGTCTACGAGGATGATGGACTTCCGAATAAGGGTGATGGAAGCGCACATCATCAGTGGCCAAAGAACAGGATTTTCGATGGTAAGATGCGAAACCAGTGTTGGCAGAAGGCGGACGTAGTGCCGGGGCGGCATCCCGAACGATGGAGGAAAGACGTAGCAGGGAATATTGTGTGCCGGAGACTCACTCGTTGTGAAGGCTGCCTTTGTTATGAGTATGATCACGTCCGCCCCTTCTCTAAAGGTATTCCTTCACTTTCTGCGCAAGCCGAAGCATCATCCGTCGAATCGCCACTCTCCTCTCCCTTCAGTTGTCTTTTAGTTCTAAAAGATGGGATAAGATAACCTTGAGCAGTTACTCTTTCTAGTTATTTGTCTGCTGTTGATGTTCTGCAAGTGGTTATACCATGTACTGTATCGCACTACTGTTGTTTTTTGGAGCCGTTAGATGAAGCGGGTCTTTATTATACCTAATCTTGGAAACCGTGGGAAATACCATGCCTGGAATCTCAGAGCTTGCCAGTAAGCATTTCCTGTTGTTGGTTATCATTCTTTAGTTCATAAATCGTCTAAACTTCCCCGAAGCTTGTATGTTAAAAAATTTAGCCACTTTGGATGTGTTCAGGTGGACAAACGACAGTCGATAATTGTCAAATATTGCAATCCCGTGTCAACAGGATGAAGAGCAACCGAAGTGATTTGGCTAGCGATGACCTGAAACAGTTCTCCTGCGATTTGAAGTTTACAGGTAACTTATACAGACGTCAAACCTGCCTACGTTTTTTTATGCAGTCTTTTCTTCAAGTGATGGATAGTTTTATTGAATTTACTTTCGTTCTGTATTTCTAAGTAGCATGCTACTCCTGTTTTTTGGTCATCAGAGTTATTGTCCATTGTAATAAATCACTTCATTTCCAGTTGGGTAAAATTGGTCTTCGTTTAGTTCATCAGATTATGACCCTCGTTGAATGAGAAGTGGAGCATTTGCAAAGAAGCCGTGAACAGATTTAAGAAAAGATAACTGTTATAACATTGATGAATATGAAGCACTCCAACTTTACTGTTAGTGAAGAAACTTTACGAGAAGGTTGTGGCATGTTACTACCAGGTTCATGTACTTCGAAAAATTCAGGCTGCCCGTGATGTCAATGAATACTGGCACTCACAAGAGCGGTGTCACGTTTATTGCCGTCTGGTGTTGCTGCAATCTGTTAATTATCGAGGACATGATGTAGGAGTTGCCTTGAGACTCTTTGAGACACTGATCTGGTGTGGGCGGTGGCAGATAAGGAACTTGATTTGATAGAGATGGGTGTGTATGGGAACGTTATACGGCCAGGCCTTCAATGCAAATGCAAGAGTGTAGCGGAGACTCTAGGGACTGCTCTGAGCAAGCAGAAGGGACCTGAAATGTCATCCTGTAAGCTTCCTCACAGTTCTGCATCGTAACCCTATTCATGGAATCCTCCACGCCAGCATTGCTTGGTCTGATTTAAGCCTTGCAATTGGTCCCCAGCATGACTATCAATAATTCATTTTCTGCAAGCATGCCCTTACCAGTTAGATTTCTTCAACGAAGCTTTGGGTTAATTAGGTCACAAACTGAGAGATAGAAGAATGATTCTCCTTCAGGTTAGCCCAAATTTAGAATATCAACGTACTCTACCTATCAATTATTCTGGAATTTACTTACCGTTGCATCCAGCAAGTTTTTAAGTCTCATTGGTTACCACCTAATGCCTGCTAGAGTGTGGCCAGTATCTGGCAAGATGTTTTAGGTGTTTGACATTGTATGCACAAACTAATGAATGTTAATGTGCTTTTTTAAAATGATGTCTTTAATGTCTGAAGAGTATTGTTTAATGATGGCTTTCCTAATTTGCATCGTGCTGAAGTAATGATATGACTTATATGTGGACGATAGTCATCGAAATGGTTTCCAGCAGGTAACTGCTCCCGCATTGAAGAGTAATTGGTTTTGGATGCACGTTCGTTCTTGTCCTGCAGGAATTTCAGATAGTGTTTGCAACACTCTTCCAAGTCGTTCCTATCAATACGGCATCCTGTTCTCTCCACTATTACGTAATGGTCACAATCCCATAAGGTTGCTAGAAAAAGAAATCGGTAACTATTTTACTGAAATTTTAAAATTATGCAGAAAAAAAAGGTTCCTCACTACATTTATTTCATTTGGTGCGAGGTTCAGCGATATGAAACATGAAAAAGAATCCTCCGTTACGGTTAGGAAATTGTACTGCCCTTACAAAGGATGTGATATAGGCAATATGCATTACAATGACATATTGCCATTGACTTATATTAAGCCATTAGTCTTGAATTATAATAAGTTGTGCATGGAATATTTTTAAACAAAAATTGTGTAAAATATTTTGCATGAATGAGCTTACATTGAGTTATGTGAAAGCAAATGGACTTACATTTTTGAAGAAAACAAATTTTGGTTAACATTTTTTTGCATTTACTTTATTCTATGGATATATATATATATATATATATATATATATACTTTTTAAAAGAATATTAATATTTTCATTAGATTACCAACATCCAAATATATGTACAATATAAACTTACATTTATAATAAATTTGTGATTTTTTTTATCTTCTAATAGATATATATATATATATATATATATAAGTTTATTTTTTTTACAAAATCTTATCAATATTTTAAATTTTGTATAACTAGAACTTATAAGTTTGGAAAATAAATAATTTCAAGAAATGACTTATTGATTGTAAGTTACTTATTTTTTACTTTTTATGTGAATTTAGACCTAAGCATTCTATAAGTAAAGAAATTTAAATCTAAATATCAAATTGACACAATTTTCTAACCAAGTTATTTGAGGCATTTTTTTTAAAAAAATATGAAAAGATATGTCAACAAATTTTTATGATAAATTAGAAAGAAAAAATTACTAGTCTTAATTCTAATACTTCTCTTTAAATTTTTTTTAAAATATTAAAAAATTCTTATGAGAATCTAGAACTTTATAGAAGATTCTAAAAAGATCCAAAATTCTACATGTACAACAAAGCTTAGAATCTTTAACTCAACACTGTTCTTTTATAAAATAATTCTAAATATATATTGTAATGTGATTATCTAAGTGTACGTTATTTATGAATAAGTTATAGTGATTACATATGTTTTAAACTCCAAGTCTTTTATTTTTATTGGCATTTTTTGAGATTTCAAAAAACAAAACAGCTAAACATTACCAATTTTAAGAAGTTTAGAAGAGGGCACAATTTCAATTAATACCATTGAATTTTGGTATATTAGACTAGGTAATTCACATCAAGTACTTTAGCAAAAAAAAAAACTACTTTAGGTAATACATTACTTTTATCACATTCAAAAAACTGACCTTATTTTAAAAATTACTAAAGGTTTCTACTGCTGATAATGGTTCCTTAAATCAAACATATTCAAAGACTTTGATTTACCAGCACATTCTAGAATGTAATATTTATATGGATACTGTACTACTTCAAACTTTATAATTCTCATCGTATTGATCCAAATTCCGCCAAAGACATATATATATATATATACATATATATATATGTTTATATATCAGTCCATTGCACATACCTGCAAATTTCACTATGATACTAAATATAATTATATTAAAATTGAATGTGAGGAGTTTAACCTCAAATTATCAAATTAATTCATCTTGTATGTTAACCACACAACCATCACATATCTCACAAGTAAATCTGAAACAATTGACCAAACACCCACTTGACTACTCATCAGTTTAAAATCAAACTCTCCGATTGCTGACAAGCCTTAAAAAAGACCAAATACAACGAATGCTTCATCTTCAAGTTCACTACCTTCATCTCCTATGTTAATTGAATAATTTCTCGCTTTTCGTCCATGCTCCAAGTCATGAAGCATTACAACGCAGAGATACCCCAATCTAGGTACTAGTCTCCACACACAGAAATTGGTAAAAGCCCTTGCTTTGGTACAACCTCAGAGGCTCATTTTTTTTAAAAAAAATAATCATTCTAACCCTCAAATTGCCTTGTTAGGATCCGTTTATCAGGGCTTGAGCATGTTTCTACTAGTCCAGACAAGAGCAGACGAGATGGGTCCACATTTGCACAGCATCATGATAAAGTCGAAGTGGAGAGGGTACAAATGAAACTGGTTGAAGGAATATGCAATTCGGATGATTCTATGAGTGATGTTATTCAGAAAACTGGGGTCTTGGCCTGCCTCGGAGGTTGCCGCAACCTGAACTGGTCAGTAGATGGGAGGCCTGGTCAAATGCAGCTTCACTCCAACTCTTTCTTTTGTGCATCGGGTGGTGCGAATTCGAACAGACTGCAACGCTGTGAATCGAAGACAACAACTTGCCGCTGGATTGCTTCTGCACAATCTGCAAGTCTACATGTCTAACTTGTTTTGAATTAATGCTAGAGTCTTGGCAGATGTTTGAAGCTGCTCCTTCTCTTCGTCTGTCAAGGGACTGTCCAGGACGCTGACGATCCCCGCACGCCCAATCACGGCCGGCAAGCTCAAGCAAACTTCATCTTCAATGCCATGGAAGCCTTGAGAACACACTGATACAGGATGGATCCGTCGCTGGTTGCGCAATACGCTCTTTACTAGGCTTGCAACGGAGTACCCGATCGCCCAGGATGTGTAGCCTTTCAGTTTGATCACTTCATAAGCGCCGTCTACTACCATCCGGTGGAGTTCGGCGAGGGTGTCGGGGCTGTAGTCGATGTGCTTCTGCTTCAAGTAGGAGATGATCGGCACGCCGCCCACGCTTACACTGGACCAAAGAGGGACGGAGCTGTCACCGTGCTCTCCCACTATGTAGCCGTGTACATTCTGGGCATTGACGTCCAGGTGGTCAGCTAGCAACCAACGGAAGCGAGACGAGTCGAGGTTTGTGCCGGCGCCGATGACGCGGTTGGGAGGAAGGCCCGATAACTTGTAAGCGACATAGGTGAGAGCGTCGACGGGGTTGGAGATGACGAGGAGGATGGTGTTGGGGCTATGCTTCATCAACTCGGGGATGATCTTTTTGAACAAGGAGACGTTCTTCTCCACGAGTGCGAGGCGTGATTGTCCCTCCTGCTGCCTGGCGCCTGCGGTCACTATGCAGATATCGGAGTCTGCGGTGACCCTGTAATCTGTGTCAGCCAGAATTTTTGCCCTGGGTAGAAAAGCTGCGGCATGCTGGAGGTCGAGCATCTCGCCCTTGAGCTTCTCCTCCACCACATCCACAAGCGCAAGCTCATCGCACAATTCTTGGGTTAGAATAGTTTGCGCGCACGCCATGCCCACGTTCCCAACTCCCACGACCGTGACTTTGTGCGTCCTCTTCCCTTCCTCAGATACGCTGGACCCAGGGATTGGCCTGAACAATTTGTTGACTACTTTTTCAGCCATTTCGAATGCCGATCCGGGCGCATGTGTGGCCGCCTCCGCCCGCCAGTCGAACACGATCTTGGGCTTCGTGGTCTGCCCTGTTGTTGTCATGTCTCGTCGAACGAATGACCCCTTCGACAGCGGTCGACAAAAGAAAGTGCTCGGCACCCCAGACCTGAAAACGCTACTCTGGATTCTCCTACTGGTTCTCGCTGTTACTGTCGGCGCTACTGGGAAATGGCTACACTGGAATGTTTGAACTGTGTCTCTCGTCGATATTGCAAAACTCATAGCTAAAATGTATTCTTATCAGTTATCAACCCAGAAATGCTTTTGATAAAATCTAGCAATTATCTAGCAATTACCTGGGCATAATGAGAGAGAGAGAGAGAGAGAGAGAGAGTTGACGTGAGCTCATTATAGCAAGCAATGCATGCATGCGGCGATCACGTTGGAATGGAATACGCAGCAAAAGCGAAGCTACGACCGGGTGGAGGAATCAATGTAGCGGGCGGAGCCAGGGCGAGCCTCGTCACTACGTGTCGCAGAAACCGCTCTATTCAATCGACTGGATCCGCCATTTTGGGCCGTCGGATCGCAGCTGCCTCTTAGATGCGATATCAACCGTTGATCATATTTCTGAGAACGGAGTTACGGAACGTAGGGGAACTAAGGGGCGGGCAGGTTGGGAACTCAGAAGCCATTCCTGATTGGGCCCCCACTGATCCACATCGACATACATGGGTGCTGAATTTTGTTTAGGGGCTGCCTCGCTATCCCACTTTTCAACCATCCCTCTTGCTTCAAACAATTCTCTTTAAAAGTATTTATTTACAGTGTAGCCCTGAGGAGGGGGGTGATGCAGATGCCCTTACTGCTTACTTGGATGACTCTTTCCTTTTACTTTTTGTGTGGCCAAGCTGGGCATGGCATTGAATGTCCTTTCTCATTGTATATATATATATATATATATACATATATATATATATATATATATATATATATAGAGAGAGAGAGAGAGAGAGAGAGAGAATAAAAATTTACAAGCTTAATTAACTATCTAACATGACATCTTAATTTTATATAATTATGTTTTTTTCTTAGAAATAAAGTTTACTATGTGTAAGGTTTATCTTGCCTTAAAATACCTCATTTGTATACTCTTATACAAAATCGATTTAATAATGTAATTATTTATGGTAGAAAAAAGTAAAAAAGAGTTTTATTGAACGCTTTATATATATATCCATACATATGTATATACATATAACCCAAAACTAAGGTTTTTTGTGCAGTACTATAGTTTTAGAACTATTATTTTAAATTAAAATTTATTTTTTCATAAAACTAAAATCCGTTATTTTTTTTATTGAAATAACACATGTTATTTAATTTAAAAAATTATCTAAATAATCATGTTGAATTTTTTTTTCCTTTTTTTTTTATCATTATATTGTATGTTAATTCAATGTAAAATTTTCAATTTAGTTTTATGAAATATATATATTTTATAATATAGTTCATAAAAAATTCTAATACTACCTATTTTTTTTATGAGTTTCTAGAATTTTTCTTGAAAACAAAAGTATCATGTACATCGAGTACAACAACAAAACAAATAAACAAAAACAAAAAAACAAAAAAAAAAAAAAAAAAAAAAAAAAGTTTGAAGCAAGAGGGATGGTTGAAAAGTGGGATAGAGAGGCAGCCCCTGAACAAAATTCAACACCCATAAATGTCAATGTGGATCAGTGTGGGCACAATTAGGAATGGCTTCTGAGTTCCCAACCTCCCTGCGCACCCCTGAGTTCCCAAGTTGGCTACTTCCATTGAAGTCCTTGAAAACAAATTCTTAGACCATGCAATCGTCAATAAGTTGTAGGAACAAATCTAGCACTTTTGTTATCAAAATCTAATAGATATCTAGAATTTTTTGGACTACATTAAGGAGTAGGTCATTGCCTATATTCGAAATGTTAATAATGTCATTGAAAACCATCTTCTAGCTGACAACTTGGTTCAAGAGTAAAATGTAGAAGAGGTAGACAATAGCAAGGAAGTGCTCAAAGTTACAATAGCAGATGCACTTAAATTAATCCAAGCACTTGAGATGTTTTGGTTATAGCAAGAGGATGGTTTTAGCAATTTATTACAGCACTTAAAAAGATGAAAGATAAAGAGAGTATAGTCATGACCAACCAAATGGTTCAAAAGGATATTTGTTAATTCCTTTCCCTACCCAGATTTTAGATTTGGTAATGTTTCATAGATTTTGATGTTAATTTCACAAAAAAAATTATTATTTATGTTTTTATAAAATATTGGAGATTTGATTATCATATCATAATATTTTTTTTTGAAATTTATGATTTTAATCATAGGTCTAATGTTCAAACAAACAAATTTTATGATTTTAAACAACATGATTTTGTACAAGTTCTATGGTATTTTATAAGCAGTTCATTGCTAAAAGTATTTTTTTTAAATATATAATTTTCTTAACATTTTTATAAAAACATGCGATTTTAATTTTTATATACATACTTGCTATACAAAGATGCATAGTTCAATGTACAATTATATTTGTATAAATTTTATATAATAATAGATAAGAATATTTATTATATAAAATATAATAATATTTAATGAATATATATATATATATTACGCTTTTATTATATTTTATATAATAAATGCATAATATAAATATTCAATAAAAAGTGAAATATAAATTTTATAAAAATAATAAAAAAATATATTTTAAAAGATATAATAATTATATTTTATAAAAATTATTTAAATTATATTAAACTTTTTAAATTTTTTTAAAATTATTTTTTTTTAAATTATTTAAATTGGTTGGAGATGATGTGATTTAAGATAAAATAAAATAAAGATAAAGATAAAATAATTTTTTTATAATATAAATATAAATATAAATTATTTATATTTTATTTATATAATATTTTGTATAGTTTTTTTATAAAAAATTATAATTTAAAAGAATAAAAATTATTTGTAGCTATAAATGTAGAAGTTTGTATGTGAAGTTATCTACAATTATGATACATATGCAAGAGGTAAGATTTAAAGGCATTAACCTTACAAATTATTTTAATCACTTCATATTCCAAAAAATATATATATCTTTATGAAATAAATAAATAAATAAATGTATTTATATACTTATATCTTTTAATCTATAAGACAAAAGTTCAATTTTGGTGATTATAAATGATACATTTTATTTGGTACAAAAAGGTTTTTTTATGGTTTAAAAAAAAAATTAAACTATTTTCATAGTATTTACCATATTCACAAGAAAACTTATGAAACTAAAGGGCATTTTATACCTAGAAGCCCACTCTAAAAAGCCCAAATTCAAAAGCTTTACAAATGTTTCTTAATTGGTGAAGAAATTCCCTCCTTTACAAGCCTTGTCCTTCAGATATAGTATAAAGTCAAAAGAGAGCATAAAATGGACCAAATTATTTTTTATTACAAGTCTAAATATGTTAGTCATATCTTGATTTAAACAATTTTAAAAAATATCAAAAATTTTGTTTTTAATTTATTTAGAAGTATTTTAAGCATTTTATGACACACATTCTTGGTATTCTTCAAAAACCTCCTCTTTGAGATAGACCCAATGAAAATTCCAAAAAAAGACATTGTATATGCCATGTAGAAAGAAAATGCATTCCACCTCATTTTTTTCTTCTTCAAACTTCCGGACTTATTTTTCTAAATAAAAAAATAAAACTTAAAAAGAAGCTTATCAATTTCAACCAATCAAAACATTTAAAAATTAAAGCCTCTCACGCTGTGCTGCACTGAGTGCTTGCTGGGTCCACAACTCAGAAGTTGTGCTCTAAATAATTTGGGTGTTTCTCGTGGGCAGTGAGAGAGGGTGTGGCCAGTTACCCCAGAGTTTGTCAGTCCCAACTCGTGGACTTGTACTCGGGTACCAGGAATCAGTAGCTGGGTGAAGCAGTTGGTGTTTATTTCTTAACCATGGAGGAGTTGTGGCTGAGTTGGGAGGCCACACAACGCCTACAGATCGGACACATTCAGTGACAACAATACTGACTTGACTCGTTTCATTTATCCTTCAACTCCAGTTGATGCTCATGTAACGTTTTCTAGTTGCAAGGAAGCTCAAGGCTACCGACATCGGAGAGTTTCACAGTGGACGTGCAGAGTGTGATGAAGTGAAACTCGGTGGTGGCATAGCTGTGGCTCTTCTTCGGTTCTCTCTCTCTCTGAACCGTACCCGTTTGCAAGTAGTGTCAGGAATCGTAGGAAATCTTGGAGGGATGGGATTCATGTCACAGGCGGCTGGTTATTTGATTTTGACATCTGGGTCTTGTGATTCAAGAGGTCTGCACCAAAGAATGCCCAAGAAAGGGAAGTTTTGGGATCGTTGCAGGCTTTTCATCACTTCTGATTGTGGAGAGTACGAGGATATTTTGCTACCATTTCGATTGTGGTACATTGTGTCGTTCTCACATCTCGTAGCCTGGAATTAGAAAGCGTGACTCAAGCACAAGATCTCTTGCTGGATTCCCCAAGTAGAAACGAATGTTATTCCGGTGGTGTGCAGTGTATAGTTGCTGACCTAAGTTTTCGTAGCGCCTTTGCCCACTCTCGCGAGTCCATAGAATCAGTTGGTTGTTTTGTCTTCAAATGACATTTGGATCCGCCCATTGATTTGTCATTGTTTTCCTTGTATCTGAGATTAAGTGAATATTACTTTTATTAGATAATCGTGGGAGAGTCATGAACTTAATGCCTGTCGTTTATTGCTTGGTTTCATTGCTGTAAAGCTGGGTAAAGAGATAAGCAAGTACCCATTCAGTGCTTGAGATTTAGCACCTCTGAAGCAATAATCTCCTCTCGACAGTGAGATTATGATTTACAAATGGGTAGCGCACACCTACCGAGATCTGAAAGAACTGCAACCATGCCCATGTTGGTGGAAAAGGGCAAAAAAATCAATTCACAAAATATATTCACGATGCTTTTCACCCTTGGACAGTGCTTATCGCAACAAACACAAAATATCTTGAAGAACAGGAAATTTGCCCATTCTGAAGATAACTCAACAAGGGCAAGAAGTTGAGTGCACAGAAGCGAATTTGAACTGTTTGTGATGTCCCAGCTAAGCGACTTTAAAATAGTTGTATTCTTCAAGGATGAAACACAGTAACTAGCTGCCGGGTGGAAACATTTGCCATGGTTACCTCTGCACCATCTGGCCAGACGATTTGCAAGTTGACAGGTCCAGCCAAAGAACCCAAGCCGAAATGTGCCACCGGCTGCAAAATGAAGAAAGCCTTGTCAGATTTATCAATTTACTTCGAAGCTACTAATAACATCAAAAGCCACCACTGGTGACGATTGACATAATACTATTTCGAGTGATACTTTCAATTTTGGTGAATACCCACTTAAAACAAAGACTACTGTTCAAGCAGGATTTTATGAAAAAAACCGCTTTTAAAAATTGAATTAAATCTTTTTAAAAACAGGGCAAACATGGTGAGACAAACTTACTTCCATGCAACACAAGTAGCCGCTGTTTGTGTTTATGGACGGAACAATCACCACCAAACCAAGCTCAATTAGTACTCATAAAATTTAAACAAAATAGAAAAAACCAAGGGAAATAGTTCAATAAGTTAGTCTGTGCGCTAGTCTGTTTCCTGAAGGTGTGAGGTATTTCGTCAGAGTGTCAGCTAGCATGATAGTCTCAGATCAGGCAAATTGACACAGACCTAGTTACAAATGAACAATGGGAACCTGTAGTTCATAGCTAGACCTTTCAACTTATTTTCAATGGCAGAACGTCCAGCCATACAATGGAAACACACCCTCACATTAGACCAAGTTAGAGTGAATACAACAAAGAAAAAAATTAATCAATTTCCATCAGCACCACTGACTAAAGGTCTTAAAGCATTGATACGCACCTTCCTGCATCAATGGCTCGCTTCTGCACTCGGCCAGATTCATCAACAAGCCTTACGGTCGCTCCTCTTGCAGGTGCACCCTGTTGCACGTAGAACGAGACCAAGTATGATTCAGCACAGTCGTGACATTCATTTCAAAGTTTAACAAGACCTGAATTCGAACCTTGTTACACAAAATTAGGAACTTGTACATAACCATACTTTTCCCCTAAAACTACGACTTATAGCTAACAGCACAGATCTGACTTCGCAGTTGAAATCCACCTGTTTTGTGAGGGGCTTCACACGCATCCAAGCATTGTCATTCTCTGGAGATCGATAGAGAGAAAGAGGTTGCGCGCGGAGTTCTCCATGCGAACTGCAAAAACGTTTTTTCCCATTTCAACTGGAAGGTCCTCTTTGAATTAAACAATAATTCTAAATCCTTCAAATCCGTGAAAATCAACATAAATATAAGTGGCTTCGGTGAATGTGAAAAGATGGTTGCAGGCGACTCACATAAGTAGCTCCAACCGACCGTCACCGTCAAAATCTGCTACCGCAGCCCCTGTTCCCAATCCTTTTGGCTCACTAGCGTCACCAATGTCGCACTCAACCCAATTGCCTGCACCGCTCTGAGTAAATATACAAATCACCCCACAGACGTCAGACATCTACCAATCAAAGGAGAAACTTCAGATAAATAGTTTTGTTCACTGTCGGAAGCTGCCTTGATCGCAAGCTGCTTCTCCATTACCTTCCAGGGATTTACGCATGACCACACAATCATGGGGCATTCGGGAAAAATCTCTTTAGGATGAACAAAAGAACACCTGTCTAAACAAGCGGTTGGCATCGCCAATATTGTTGAAGAAAAGTTCCTCGTAGCCATCGTTATCGAAGTCAGCAGCAATGACGGTACGTATCGCAGAGGGTCGAGCCATTGCTGGTGGAGCCACGTCCTTAAAGCCTCCAACATCACCGTCTTTGAATCCCAGTGCTTTTGCGCCTCCTATTGGTCCAGGTCCAGATACGGAAAATAGCCTGTGAGACCCCTGGGATTGATTCCAACATTCGAATTAGCTAAAAAATCATGATCACGTGTACAAGTACAAAGTCGTCTCCAAGTCTTGCTCTATTTTTGGATGCAGAGGGAATAGCTAAATTGAAAGCTCGGTAGCCTGATACGACATATATTTCAAACACAGCCATAAACATCATGCACTTCGGTTGAATGAGATACACCTGCCAGTTCCCACACGCCAGTCCTAATTGACCATCGCCCATAGCATCAACTACTGCAACGCCTCGACAATTTTCTAATGCGTCCATCAGCCTGCACCAAATGCCATGTGATGAGTTAGGTGCAAGTGCGATTTGATCTTGGTTCACACAAAATCATCAGACGAATCCCTTAGCAACAGAATGTTACCCATATGCAGAGGCGCACTCAACAAATCGCCCACTGTCATCTCCTTTGTTGATGAATAAAAAGTTTGGACCCCCCTATGTCATGTCATCACGAACAAGAATGAATAAATGTGAGTCAGTTAGACACGAAAAAAATTGATAATCATGGAAGACAGTAGCTCTCTGCAAGACAAGACAAGATAAGACATGACGTCATTCAACAAGCTGGCAACCTCACAAGTAATTAAATATGTACCTCGTTGCCAGCAAAGATATCCATTGACGAATGTGAAATCAGAGGTAAAGATACAAGCGCTCTCCCACCAGTTGGGTACGTCGCCAGCCCTACTTCTGAAGCAACATCGGCTACAAAGCCTTCTTCAGTCATCTCAAACATCTGTTCTACATTCATAACGTATTTCCGTGCCACCCGAAATACAAAACCCGATGAGTTACAAGCAACGAAAATTTTCTACTCAGAATATATGTATATCATAGTTCAAGACTAGACCTCTCGCAAGATGATTCTCGCTTGCAGACATGAGTAAGAAATAATATACCTTCATCAAACCCCCATAATTTGCTACGAAGAATGAGTACCTGCAATCAGCTTTTCTCTATCAGCCTCACGCCAAAAGAAGCGGGTGCCATTGTACGAACAAACCGAAAACCGGTACCATCCAGCTAAAGAGTAAATTATAAAAAAACCGATCGACAAGAGGATGGAGACTATACCATGACTTGTGAGAGGAAACATGGCATTCAAAAGGCTAGAGAAAAAGGTAAATATGGCCACTCACTTTCCATTGCCAAGGCGATCTACGGCACACACAGATCGCCCAGCACACATGTTCGATTCGTCCATGTTTCTAGGTAGAGAGAAGAGATCTACCCATCTGCCAACCAATCCCATCCCCTATGATTGACACTTCCTTGAAACCTTGACCCTAACCTAGTTGATGGTAGTTGAATCAAAGAGAAGCTTGCTTGAATGTACAATTTAGCAAGTCTACGTGGAATTGCACTCACTGTTCACTCTGAGAATCAAACAAGCGATCTGTGACCTTCTTGCGCCCGAGAAATGTGTCCGTGTTTAGGACATATAACTGCAACACACGCATGATTGTCACCAGATTGCTAAGTTGCAAAGAAGGTGAAGCATGCCAAGTGAGAATCATTTCTGGTTAATAAACATGGTTATAACATAATACAAGAAGGCAAATTACCAATTGATGTGCTATAAAATAACCTAAGTTGCCAGGAATTTGTAAGGAAAAGATGATGTAAACCTCTTCACGACCATCGGCATCAAAATCCGCGGCAGCCACACCAATGGACTTGGTTTCTGGATCTTCGAGAGGAGTCCCAACAGCAATGTCCACCAATTCGTTGCCATTCCACTATTTCCAATATTGTTCAAGGGCAGTGTTAGGTCTAATGTACACTTGGAAATAAAGAGAACGGAACCATAGTGAGCTGTGCTCTCTCTTATTTCTGAATTCAAATCTAGTACTTAAGGCTGGTGAAGCAAGATCATAGGAAAAGCGCATGAGATATTCACACCTTCAATACTTGATTCTGAAACCCAAAGCCACAGACAAAAAGCTCAAACTCGCCATCTCCATCGAGATCGGAGACGCACACGCCGTAATTCAACTGTCCAAAATGTCAACTCTACGCGAGATCAGAGAAAGGTAATTGAGACGAAAATATCCATCAAGAATTTGCTACATAGACATTATACACAATCAAGACCACTGGTAATCAATCATGTCCGCAACCAACAGATTTTCCTGACAGGCTACACACGGGCATGCGAAAGAAGAACCACTCCCACAAGGACACTCTATCCTACAAATTTCGCAATAATTCCAGATAATTGTACCCCATAGATCATCGGAACTCAGTGTTATTTCTCTCTATCATAAACACCCGAGTACCCGGAGAAGGAAGAAAAACAAAAATAAAGTCACCAAAATAAAATCAAAAGAGAAACAGCGATACCCGCGGAGGATTCACGGCAATCAAATGTGAGGCGTCCTTGAACATGGCTTGCTTCACTGCTTGCTGTCCACCCGATTCTGTGCTCACGCTCTGCATTCCTTCACTACTACAAACTAACCGAGCAGCTCCACCTCTCCAAGACGGTCTGATACTTCGAGAGATACCCACTGCCACAATCCCCCAGGCCTTTCAAAATCCTCAAAGACAAAAGCCAACCCAACTTTCAACTGCAAAACCACCCAACCCAAAATTGACTGCGAACCTCACATCTTGACAGTTTTAAACTAGGAGCTAACGTGGAGAAAAAGGGAGAGAGAGAGGGAGGAGGAGGAGGTGCGAGAGGGGATGAGAGAGTGTTCACATGCAGCAGTGGCAAAGGTCCAGGACCGAAGAAGCGTGGAGGAGAGTGCCATGGCCAAGCTAATGGAGCTGCAACAGCAGTTGCAAAGTGGCAACCCAGCAAAACACAAACACGCACGCACTTTGCCCTCAATGCGATCCCATGGATAAGTCTCATTCATCTCTTCTTCATCCATTCATCATTCATCTCTTCTTCATCCATTCATCATTCATCTCTTCTTCATCCATTCATCATTCATCTTTTTCGCTCAAACTCCGTTTTTCTCTTTCTTTTCATGGCCAAGTGATATTAAATCTTACAAAAGGAACTATTGTGTTTTGCATGAGAGTTTATGAGAGTTTCTTCTTCTCCTTTTCTTTTTTTTTGATTGATTGATTGATTGATTGAGTTGAGAAGTAGCACATTTAGCTATATTTGATGAGAATAAACTACATACTGTAAATTGTTTTGTCAAGAGTGTGTGTCATTTTTTGTAGTGTCTAGAGACATAAGCCAATAACTGGTGCAAGTCTTATTAGATTAGTTAATATACAGGAAGAAGGTTTCTGCCAAAAACAATTGGTTTCAATTTGAGCACAACATATAGGCTTTCAAGCTAGTAATTTGGAAAGAAATTATCTAAAAAAGGATTCCATAATTCCATGTACATTAAACATCTTCATGATACCATAATTTAAATTAAAAAAATGTTCATTTTTGTAAGAATGCTGTTCTTGAAATCAAAGTAGCTAGAGTCATTATGAAGTTAATCTTTAACATTAAGAACAAGAAGGTTTGTGAACATACTTAAATGAATTTCATCAAGGAAAGTACTATGAATTGAAATTGTTTACTTAATAGCTCAAAGATGTAATTTCTCCTATTTTAAAAGAATGCTCTTTTGTTGATTATATGGAATATCTTCTTCTTTTGTTGCAAGATAAGAACGTCTTGACAAGGCATTTGACAAGTTTTTTTTTTTTCTTTTTTTTTTATAACTACTATTTAATAATAAGTAATTGTTTTGATAAGGACATACTCCAACAAGCTTAATGATAATTTAAAACAAGTATTAATATGAAATACTCAAGGATTTTGTAATTAATATAAATTATAATTGAATTGGAAGTGTCTTCTAAATAATGTTTCCATTCTTAGAATGAATACACAAAAGAAAGAATTTATGTCTTATATCATATAGTTAATTTTAGCTATTGAGAATTATTTTAAATAAAAGATGATAGGATAAATTTCATTATCTATATCTATTTGTGATAAAATTATACTTAATGCAAAACTCAATAAATCTATTTTGATTAAAAAATATCATTAAAAAATATTAAATGATATAAAATAGAAGATGATGTAAAAATTATTTTTAAACCTTAAAATATTGCTTTTGCATCCTAACTTTATTTTAATTTTCTTTTTTTAAATTAATAATCGCTTATAAATCTTAAAAAGTATTAGACATCATATATTATTTTTAGAATGATCTAATCTATTATAGCTTATTTATTTTAGAATCTAATAACAAACCATCATTTAAAATAATTTATCCCAAAAGTTCTATTTAAATTATATAAAATATATCTTTTTTATCTTGATGTATATTCTTACATCTATAAATTTTGGTAGTATAAAGCATATGTATTACTTATATTTTTATTTTCTTAAAATCGATAAAAATTCAAAATAATAGACAATAAAATTATCTAAAAATTCATAAAATATTTTATTTATCAAATTTTAGAGACTAATCAAAAGATATGATATTATATTCAAAACGGCCATATCTAGTTTGAAGTATAGTCTTCTATTTATTCTATTTTTTAATACACATCAAGTTATAGACTCTTTGTAGACCTATCTTAGTATAAATTTTAGCTTCACTCCATAGATCAAAGATCTTCAATATCAAAGACAAAGGATAATAATTCTTAATGGTTAGTTTGTTAAGTCAATAATAGTCTGTAAAAAAAATACATTGATTCATTTATTTTTCTTCACAAAGAGAATTAGTATATGTATAAGAAAACTTTAAATATTGAATAAAGTTATTTGGTAGATTTATATCAACATATTCTTTCAAATCACAAGTTTATTTTGTAATAAGTTCTAAATTGGTCTAAAAGATAATTGAGTTCCCTTTTTAAGGTGAATTGTACAATGACAAGATAGGTATCTTAGAAAAATATTAATATTTTTCTTCTCAAATTCATATTTAGTTTTTTCATATTACTCTACGATTCTACTAAAATATTTGCTTAAATGAAGACTTGGTGTAGTATGAATAACAAATGGATTTCATTTTGTATTGGCTTGTACAAAATATTAGCTTTTACAAATAGAGGTTTGACTTTTTTAGATGTAAGTCAATTTTTTTTCTTGCTTTTCTAGATAAGAAAAGAATAAATTTAAGACTATAAGATATCTAATTTTTGTGAGGATTACATTTTTTATCTACAATAGTCTTTACAATAAGAACATTGATTAAATATTTTATAATATTAAATACTACAAGATCTTTATAACCTTTTATAATTACTTCTATAAATGTTTTATAGTATTAAATACTACAAGATCTTTATAACCTTTTATAATTACTTCTATAAATATTTTTATTTGGATAATATTTCTTAAATTTAAAATTTAAAAATCTATATATAACTCCTATATATATAAGTTTGACTTTTATACAAATAATATCTTAACAAATTTAGTAAAAACTTTATCAAGAAAACAAGCAAAGACACTTGGGACTATTATATTGGAGATGGAAATAATAGGATTTTGGATCCTAAATAAACTTACATTAAAAATAAAATTTTAAAAAATAAATTAAAGATGATATTTAATAAGAATCTAGCCGCATGGCCTCTAATATTGCTATACAAATTTTTTTGCCAACATATTCTCTTCTTTTAGAATTATGCTCTTTGTCTTATGCTTTTATTTTTTTAAGTAGATATTAAGCAATATATTTTTTATCTATAATATAAGCATAATTATTTTTTATAGGTTAATCTCTTTTCTTATATTTTAAAAGATTTTAAATTATAAGAGATTTTATGTTGTTATATCATATATTTTTCTTGTCTCAGAATCCACCAAGCACTTGGCTATGAAAAGTAAATTATATTTTGCAACAAACAATCTAATAGTCCTAATAAAATCCTAAATAAGTCCTAATTGAACCTTAAAAATTCTTACAATTTTTTTGCCATCAAATTCAGATTTTATTTGCTGATGTACAAATAACATTATGTTTTTTAAACATAAATTAATTTTTTTCCAAGAATGCATTTAATTTTTCTATCTAAGATCTTATTATTTCAAAAATGCTTAAAACCAAGAAAAGAATAATTTCAATGATATATACATTGATACTAATAATGACCTTAATAAGAGGAGTTAAGTAGAAGTAAAAGTAATAAAATTTGATACTATATTGTGGAAAGGTTTTTAGAAGCTTTACAAATGCAAAATTGACTTTACAAGTATTTGTAGGTAATTTGTTGGTTGAAAACTTGGCCAAAAAATTGGCCATGTATTACACATGTTGACTACTTGTTTTATAAGTTGGCCATATGTTGCACATATTGGCTACTTGTAATACAAGTTGGTCATATGGCACACATATTGGAAACTTGTCTTTCAAGTTAGATGAATGTCTTGCAAGTTGAACACATATGAGATGATACATAAAATGTTGTCTCATTGCTCTTCAATAAAATAGTATATATAGAGGCAAGAGTAAAGCTTTTTTTACTCTTATCAATGCCTTTCTTGTGCTTTTGTCTTAATTGAAGGATCTTCATTCTTTTTATATTTAGCAATAGTCTTTCTAATTTCTATTTTTTAATTATTTTTTATTTACCTACTTTCTTTCTTTGAATGTTATAATAGTATGTTACTTCTTTAGAATTTTGTTATTATTCATGTCCTTAATAAATATGTCTATTTAGTAAAGGTCCAATAAATCTATTTTGAGATGTTTGGTTGTAATAAATTAGAAATTGGAGTTGAATTAAAAATTATATTTAATTGATGAATTCTTAAAAGTTAGATTTAAATAATAAAACTTCTTTAGAAAAACAACTTTTGATTCTCTAGATAGTATAGTTGTATTAATTACTTGAGATAGTGCAATTGTTGAAAAAACTCATGTTATTTCTATATCTTTATATTTAACTATTTATATTGTTAATTGATAAAGTACAACAAGTATCAATTTTTTTTATTTTTATATTTTTTTTTGTGCTTCTATACTTTGGCATTCTTTATTTTTTTTAGATTTGTTATACTCATTACAACTATAGAAATTCTTAATAAGAAAAAAATAATAATAATAGCATTAAACAAATATTAGTGTAAAGAAAATTAATTTTTAACGTCTATATGTCAAGGACAAGAACTCGATGAAAGCTAAAGAGTAAGTGAGACTTTTCTCAAAGAAATAGGACAAAATAGAAATATGTATATTAAGAAAGAAATTGGAATGGCTATTGCCAAAATACAAGAAAACTAGAGACCCTTGAAACTAGACTAGAAGCAAGAAAGGAGTTGACAAGAGTGAAGAGGGCTTCACTCTTGCCTCTATATATACTATCTAACTAGAAGCCACATGGCGATGTTCTATAAGACCTCCAATATATGTTGACTTTCTAGGCCACATGCCTTTGCTTGCAAGACAAGTTTTCTATGGATGGACCACGTAGTTAGCTTGTTCTTTAAGCTTCCAACATGTGTGGTACATGGCTAACTTGTTGACCAAGTTTCTAGCCTAAAAGTCAACTATAGACTCCTATAAAGTCAAAGCAGCGTCTATGAAGCTTCTAAGAATCTTCTCTAGAAGATATTACATAATTAACCTACTTTTATCTACTTTTACATACTTTTATCTATTCATATAGGTAATTATATGTATGTCCGTGACATTACCCCCCCTTCTAGGGACGAGTTCCACGAGGAGCGATGATTATATATTGAGAAAATCTAATATGCGACGAATTGCATTTGCTACATACTCTGATCTTTGTTCTCTTCGAAGATAGTTAATGGGTCCTCTTAGCCATCGATAGTGTCCCATTCCAGGGCGAGAAGACCACCCTGTTATTTGATCACTGTTGAGGC